TCTCTCTCTCTCTCTCTCTCTCTCTCTCTCTCTCTCTCTCTCTCTCTCTCTCTCTCTCTCTTTCGTTGGTGAGAGACCATTTTCTCTTTCTTTCTCGTTTACACGTCGAGAAAGAGATACTTTTCTTTAAGAAGTGAGGTCTCCATTGAGCCTTTTATTTCTTGATACGGTAGTCAAAATAATATGCTTATACTTGCAAATATTACAGTTTATAACGTTAAAATAAACATAAGAGAGATATCAAAAGTAAAATTAGCTTGTTAATATGTTAATTAACTTAATTATTTTAATATGTTAATTAACTTAATAAGTTTTACTAGGCATACGCCTATTTACAGAAAAAGTGTTCATTATCATAAACATGTAATGATAAAATATTATTCAATATGATTGAAATAAAAGACTGTATATATAATATATTAAACAACGCCCTCTTTATTTTATATTGGTATGTAGCTATTGGTATGTATCCTCCTATTTTATATTTATTTTTTATTACAAATATTTTATTACAAATAAATATTATAAATATTATAAAAATTTTAATATAATTAATATATTAATTAATGAAAAAATAATGATGATGAAAAATAATGGGATGCGGAAATTTTGCTATTAATAACTTAAATGTTTTCAATTTTTTAATGAACTTTTCGAATGAATTATAAATTAATTCACGTTCATAATGTATATTCCAGAGATCATACAAGGATTAATGGATAAATAACAGAATTTGAATATATGGAAGAAAAATAAATAGAATAAAAATAGACAGAAATCAATTGTTAGAGATTAAATAGCAAATATGGTAACGTTTAAATGTTTAAAAGTACGGAATTCGAATGCATCTCTAATTCTCTGACATATACAAATTAGCACGATCGGCGGTAAATCCAAATAATCCATTGAAAGCTTCGCTCTCGCGATTGAATTTCCGTTCGTCAATGTCAAAAAAACGATTTCGTATCGTGTGAAAGAAAATTTGGCACGTATGAAGAATATCAAGAATATCAATAATCTTAGTAAAAATAGAGTTTTTACAGATAGAATTTAGCAGTGTTTACTTTGATGATTTCTTTTATTATTATCTTATTTATTAAATAATTTTTCTAATAAATATAATTTTTTGGTCATCTTCACCTTTACGAGCAAAACGATAATTATAATACCTCCGTGTCCCGTGGCCTCTGCATTTAGATCTTTGGTGTACCGAAAATTGGCTGGAGCCTTGCTAACCTTTCTGACCGCTGGCGATGCATCGAGAAGGATTGTAAATGTCAGCAACAACCATAATATCCTCAATTCGCCGACGCACAACGTCATTTCGATTTACCACGTTCCACGTGGGACAAGAAGTACGTTCGTGAGGAACAAGATGATGATGCACTGAGATGCATCTGCAATCCGCGCTCCGATTTATTACGTGAATACTTCCTCTCGTTGCCTCTTTTTCCTCGTCGCCGCCAGCCAGGCGATCGAGTTTTTTCCCGCCAACCGTTGAAAGAACTTTTCTCTTCCGGACGGACAAAGGATGACCGCGTAAATAAATGAAAAAAGACGCGTTTTCTTATTTTGTCGTCGCTACTTTCACCCGTCGCGTTCATTCTTCGCGGTACGAATAAAAACAAACTTACAAAGTGTACAGGGCCCTTCAAAAGTATGAAAACGACTCAAAGAACTCATCGGGGATGAGTTTAGAAAAAAATAACGTTAAAGGGAAAGTTGTAGGGTTTCAAAAGGTCTATTTATTGATCTTATCAGTTTGATCTTGGATGGCGTTGCCAAGGTCATATAGAGGTCAACTTTGTTTTTTAAATGGAAACCCACATTACATATTCTTGTAGCTTATCTCGCTTTCCAAAACAATATTTTTTAGTAAATATTTTCTGAATTT